TAAATTACTTTTATTTATACAACACAAAGCTATTTTACAATTTACATCTGGCATCTGGCCTTTTTTTTTTCTCTCTACTTAAGTTTGATTCTTGGTTGGTTACCTTAAGTGATCTCACCTGGCACTTGATTCCTTTACATTGCTGTAATTCTGCCTCACCCACTGATTTAAATGCCAACCTAGTGTCAATTCTACTGATTTACTTTCTCCATTTGATATCTGGCTGGTTGCAGTGCTAGTGGGAAAAACATTACTCAACCTCCTTGACTGGAACACAAGGCCCTTCACTTTCTGGACTCCTATATCCAATAAGATGTGTTACATCCTCTTTCTCAAATGTTATACATGGTCCAGAAATACACGACTGCCATGAGCTCCTTATACCACCTGAATGTGAGAAAAATCAGCCTGTATGTTTCTTCCTCTTTAGCTGAGAAAGTCCTATTCTGTGTCACTGCCTATTCTCTGGAATTCTTCCTTTCAAGCTATGTAAGAGGTCCTATTTGTACTCTGGTTTTGCACTTTCTACAGTTGCTTTATCTTTAATTATTAATATGCCTTTATTTCTCATTTGACTGTAAGTTCCATTAGAGGGAGGCTCAATTTATTCATCTTTTTAATAAATATGCAACTGGTATATATTGACTCCTACAACTGCTGAATGAAGTAGAGTCCTACTGTTGTAAACAAGGATTTCTAAAGCCTGATAGGTGACTCATGTAGATAAGGCAAGTGAATAAAGTTCTCTGTCCATGGTCAGACACTGATAAACCCAATTCTTAAACCCAGGTGTCCTAGTAGTCATGTCCAATGCCGTTTCCTCCACAATGCACACTACCTGATTGCCTTTGTTGATGTCTAGATTGCATTTAAAGGACGATTTTCTGCCTTGCAGGGTGGACAAACAGGGTCAAAGGGGCTTCCAGCTGTTACCCCCTCATTCCGCCCTGAAGATGAGCTAGAGCACCTGACCAAGAAGATGCTTTATGACATGGAAAATCCACCTGCTGATGAATACTTTGGTGAGTGGGCTCTAGAGCTGACTTCTGAAGTAAATATTCTGTTGTTTTCCTTAATTAGTAATTAAGAGTATGATCAGCTTTACTGGTAAAGGATTTGAGTCTGGATGCACTGGAGTTGGTATGTGCACAAAATTGAGTGTTCTGGAAATTGCTTTATGAGAGACTGCCATAAGTATGATATCTGTTTAGCTTATATTAAAATCTCAGGGGCATTGCAGAGTTTCTTGAGACACAAATTTGATTTAAACTTAATCACTGATGATTTATTAGCTTATTTTTAGGCAAAAATGGGGCTTCTATGTGTGTTCAGGCCTAAATATTAATATACAAAATGTAGAATTGGATAGTGTCTAAACTTTCAATTCTTACCCTATTCAAGTTTAGGAAAAGACATTGTTCCCTTTGTATTTTTTTTAACTTCTCCCTCTCCAGACCTGTGAATAATTATGAACAGTTAATCCATTCAGACCATTAGTGTAACGTGAATTTATGAATTATATGCTAATTGTGATGTGTTATGGATATATAACTTGTCCTCAAGGAAGTTGTAATTATTCAGAAGAGATAAGAAAAACATACAAATAATTACTAGTCTAGGTAAAAAGTTATAAGAGACATAAGATAGACTTGCTTAGGTCAAATGTTTTAAAATTTAAAAAGCTTCATTAATCTGGAAGGAACATCAGGAATGCTTTATAGAAGAATTAGTGGCACTTGAATCTAGACCCTTTAAAGCAGTACCTCTCAAGTTTTTTTGTTATGAAAGACTCCTCCATAATCTGTTGGAGACCAGTATTTTTATAGAATACAGTAAAAATTAATTACTAGGGAAATTAAATAAAAAGAATACAAAATGGAAGATCAAGTTTTACCATTATTAGATTTAACAAGAATACATTACTCTATTAAATTGCTATAGTATTTCCTATATACTAGCTTTGTATTTCTGTTCTCTCATCACAAGATGATAAACATTTCTTATGCAGATACCCATCTGTGGACCACATTCTGAGTAGTGCTGTTTTAAGGACATACAAAGAAAGGATATTACATTTGGGGAGCACTGGGAGCAAAGGCACAGAGGTAGAAAATTGCACAGCAATTTTTTTTCAAATATTTTCTATTTTCATGTGTTCCCACTTGCTTCTTATTTGGGAATATGTAATGACAGGTAAACTAAGGGCACTGGTTCAAAGCCATGCCATAGATGGACTGGGTTAGGATATTACAAACATGGCATTTATTTGTATGCAGGAAGCAGTGTAGCTAAGCTAAAAGAGCACAATAGTGAGAATAAAGAATTCAGGTTCTGGTCCCTCTGCCCTTGCTGGTTAATCAATATTGGCATGTTCCCCATCTGCCTGAGCCCCATTTCTCACTTCATTAAATCAAAAGTATAGAACAAATGTTTTCTAGAATTTATTTCAGCACTGATAAGATCATATAGAAACAGCATCAATCCAAAGAAATGTGACAAAGTAAAAGCTAAACATAAATGGATAGAGATTAGCACAAGTGCATGGATAATAGTAAAAAAAAAAGTCTGCTGTTATATTAAAACATACAAAAAGTATATCATGTTCTTGTCAGTGATGTGGGCGAAGGGTTTATGTTGGAGTCTAAGATTCAGAAAAAGCAGGTTAAAAGTGAACAATAAGTTATCTGTATTAAAGTATCTTAAAAATGAAAAGTTAACATACCAAGTATATATGTTTTAAATATTATAGCAAAAAAAATTACATGGCAATAAAGAAAATTGTTTAATGAACATATATTAAGCACTCTGGGAAACAGACATAAATTAAATATTACCTTTACCTTTAAGAATTGTCCTAGTTCTACAACTTACTAGCTTAGACAGTTGAATGAATCACTTACTCTCTCTAAATCCTTGTTTTTGTTTAACTTTATTTATAAAATGAAAATAATTGCTAGCTTATACTATTAATATGAGTATTGAATAAAATATTTATAGAAAGCACTTAGCCAAGTTCTTGGCATGTAGAATATGCTCAATAATCAAAGTTAGCCCATACTTTATTAAAAAAAAAAGATATGCCCATGAAAATTTCATTAGTAATACCTAACTTCAGTTTAAGTTACTACCTAAATAGATCATAGGTCACTAATTGGTTAATAATCATTGCCAAATAAGAATTACAAACCATAACAAAGACTATGGAATAATGATTAACTAGAAAGTGTTTACAATATGGTAGCACTATTTTATGTGCTTTATAGGAATTAACTCATTTCATCCTTACAGAAAAAAAATATAACTATGTAAAGTAAATGTTATTATTTTTTCCCAATTAGGAAACTGAGGCATGGAAATGTCAAGTAATCTACCTGTTACAGACAGCTAATAAATTGCAGGAATGAACTAGAATTCAGACTCCAAGTCTATACATTTTTTTTCTTCTAAAAGCTATGTCTCAAGCTTTATTGAGGTATACAAAAACTGTACACGATTAATGTGTATGATTTGGTGGGTTTGTATACACACACACACACACACACACATGCACACACACACACACACTTGTATCACTACCTCCACAATCTGGTACTTCCAAAAGTTTAGGTTGGATATTTAGAAAGGTTTTATGGAGAAAATCAGCTTTGAACAGATGGAAAATAAGCAAAGGGTATTCTCTTCTAAGTAAATAGAATAAACAGAATATGAGTTGAAGCCGAGATTATTCAAATAAAATTTACTTCATGTGGAAAACATCCACCAAGTGGCTATTATTTGCAGGCTACTCTGTTAGGTGCTGGAGACAGGCAAATATGGGTTTTACCTTTAAAGGTGCTTATAGTCTAATAGAGTATGTGTACAGAGTTATGATGTTTAATTATAACACAAAACAGAAAGTGACAAATGACTTAAAGTTTAGTCAAAGTTCTATGAGATTTCAGAAAAAGGAGCGAGGACATCCCAAGGCAAGAATGGAAAGATGTTGATGGAGTAGTTAACTTTTGAGTTAAGTCTTTAAAATTATCCTAATGGAGATTGGAAAGTAGGAAAACAGTAGAGAAGTGATGTCATTTCTAATGAGGAAATTTTAACATATAGTGAATGCAATCATTGGAGTGAAGCACCCATGTGGGAAGGAAAAAATATTGGGAAGTAAGGTTGGAAAGTAAGTTGGGACTCATGTGGAGAAGACTTTTAATGCCAGACTAAAGGCTGGTGACTTTATCTTACATAATGAGCTTTGGCAGTTTGAGATCAAATGCTATGGGAACTAACTGTTCCATCAATAGTGGTTAAGAATGTGGTCTCTAAAGCCAAAATGCCATGGTTCGAAGGCCAGCTCCACCTCTTACTGGCTAGGTAAAAGCAGGAAGTAAAGGATGAGTTAACAGAACTATCACTTACTGTTCCACTCTAAACATTAAACATTCCCCGAGCACATTCTCCATGCCTGCCCCTGTGCTGAGTGTTAGGGACAGCAAGACAGGAGAGAGGCAGACATGTAAGAACTATCAGTGCAGATATCAGCGCTGTGCTGGGTCTCCCGGAGGCCTATGTGAGAGTAGAAGACAGAATCCATAAATCTGCCTGGAGATGGGGGAAGAAGGGTTACATATCAGGGTGTTTGTAATTGGAAGACCTGAAAAGAGAGATGAATGAGAGCCTTCTCTTGTTTTCTAACAGAATTTTATCCTAGTTCCATCCTGAGTTGGAAATAACATTGCCAAGCACCACCCTAAAAGAGCTTTACTCTCTTGCACCATCCCAACCCCATCACCTACTCTCCTTTTCCACCAATTTACCAATTTAACAATGGAACTTTATTGACACTACAGCTGATTTGTTGAAGATCATTAAGTGCTTTCTTTCAAAAATCTCCTACTAGGTTATAAGCCGCACTAGGGAGTGGAAGGGAACAAAATCTAAATAAACAGAGTAGGTTCCCCTGTGGTCATGTTGCTTTTTTTTTCATTCCTTAAGTGAAATGATTCATGAATATATTTTCGGTTTTTTTGTTTGTTTTCTTTATAGAGCTACTCATCACTTTTAACAGCTTTTTTTTTTGAATAATTAAAGAACTGTAATTATGGTATGCTTAAAAGTATTGGGAGGAATATCAAAAGATCATTTTACAAATGACTTAAGTACAAAGAAGATACCTTTACAATGGAGAGGTCTGGAGGAAACCTTCTTAATTCAAATGATGAAATTTAGCATCACCAATCATGGGACAAATTGACATATGCCAGCTGATATGATATAGCAGGAAGTATACAACATACCTGTGTAATAGTCTGGTTAAAATATTTAACTGGAATCCAACCATTAGGACATAGACAAATCCAGATGATGTGACCTTTTTTAAGACAATTTTCCTAAATTCTTCAAAAAAGTAAATGTTAGAAGATACTATTCCAAATTAAAGGAATTAAAGTATCATGCCATTCAAATGCCAGGTATGAGTCTCGATTGTTTTCTGGATTAAAAAAAAATGTAAAGAATTTGGGTCAAGGTTAGAGAAATTTGAATATGAACTATATATTAGATAATACATCAGTGCTAATTTCTTGACTATGGTAATAATATTATGATTATATAGGAAAATATCCTTATTTTTAGGAGCAACATGTTGAAGTTTTAGGATTAAGTATTCTGATGTCTGAAACTTAACTTTGAAACAGTCTAGTAGTTGATAGATAGATAGATAGATAGATAGATAGACAGACAGACAAACAGACATACAGATAGACAGACATAGATATTGTGGAGAGGCATGAATGACTTTGGATTAAAACAGCTAAAGATGCTGTTACTACATAGCTACACATGATACCCTTTTTTCCCAAAAAAGTATTGAAGCCTGTCACAAATGAACTATCTTAGACCCCTCTCTTGAGCAGTATAAACAAAGAGAGTCATATTTCTATTCCTTTTAAACTTGACTGTTTTAATAACTATAGTAGATCTTTAAATTTTCCCTTTCTTGTGTATGTTTTCTTATTCTCTACAAGACATATACCCT